GCCTCTTAGTTTCACCAATATAGGATTTTCCGCACTCACAGGGTATCCGGTAAATGCAATTCTTGGAATCGCAGTCCGCGTTTGGGGGCCTGGTTTTCGTGAGGCTGCTACGGATAGTGTTACCGGATCTGAAACAGGTTCTAATGTTGTACTTGGAACCAATTCTTCTTATCCTCTCCGATAATCCTCTGATGTAGGGAAGTGCAAGCACTGGTTGTGACGGCTTCTCTTCCTTGCGAGGCTCCTGCTGTCTTTTAGCCAAAGTCTTTTCTACCATCGCTTTGGACTACCTATTCCGTTGAAGATCATTTTTGATGATGTCTAGTTTCTTATCGGGACCTTCCTTCGTATCACAGAGACCGAAAGCACGGTCCAATAGAGTCTTAATGATTTCTCTTTTAGTCGATTGATGGTGGTTGGATTCGTGGTTCAGATACTGTCCCGTGTGAGTGAGTTTTCGGTATATAGATGTTTCCCACTTAGTGTCGGTCCTCTTCATCAAAATGTCTAAGAATGGCAATTCGTTGTGAATTTCCTTCTCCATCGTGAAAGTGATGGAGAGTCTCATGCTGTGTTTCAGGAAGGCGTCTAGTTCAGTATTCCCATGGTTCCAACATATCTCAACCAGACTCGAGGTTTTTTTTAGGCTTCTTCAATGGCCAGAGTTTCAAACCACTCCGTTTTGATTCAATCAAATCTAAATTCAGCCAATTACTCCCACTTTGGAAGACAACTCACAAACATAAAACATTGGAATCCCAGAGGGTCATGGAAAAGTGCTACTTAAAAACACACTCTATTGGAGGAGTGGAAAGCGGGAAAGAATGTTTTACACAAAATTTTTCAAGTCCTCATTAACAGCAAATCCTGATTTGAAAAGTTGTTGTCAAGGTAGTTTTTCTAAACGAATCAAACCAAAATTTTTCCTTAAAACATAATAACAAAGTTCGTACGCTACCATAGAAAAATATTGTTTTTTTTATGAAATTTGATTTTATCGTTCAATATAGACGCCTTCAAGGGCGTTATAACGATATGTCGGTTATACAGTTTATCGATAACATTTTTATAATACGATTTGTCTTAAGCCTTAAAATAGGCCTCAGTTTCAACGAGTACCTCTTATCGGTGCTAAATTCTCTAGAGGTCTGAGAACAGAAAAAAGTGGATGTGGGCCAGATCTGAAGGATACGGTGGATTTAAAGACCAATTCATGCAATTTTGCCATCGTTTCAATTGATTTCTGACACGGTGTATTATCTTAATGGAACAGCCCTTCCTTTTTCTTCAAATGGGTTGATTTTTCTGCGATTTCGACCTTCAAACGCTCCAGTAACGCTATTTAATAGTCGCTACTGATGGTTTTTCCTTTTTCGAAATAGTCGCGATGAATATTATACCACGCGAATTTCGAAATACTGATACCATAGCCTTGCCAGCCGACTGGTGCATCTTTGCACGGTTTTATTTTGGTGTGAAATGATGGAGCCATGCATATCGATGCATAAATACGGGTAGCTATCACAAATTGAAGAGGAGCTATTACGAATACTGGTTTATGTAGATTGAACTTTATCCATCATTTGACTGCAATAGTTAAAGATTTCACACTGTCACCATCAATTCTCGTCAAATTTCTAAAACTTGCCGAGCCTCCTACCTATTCTTCAAAGTGACAATCGAAGTTATATTATTTCAGCAAAATTTTATTTCTTCTTATAACGACTCGATCACAAAGCGAAAAGAGTTGGTGTTCTCAACCATCAAGTAAAAGTGTATTGGCCCTCAAGTTGCCAAATACGGTAGTGCGTGGTTGTCAGGCAGACAACCCAAGAAGCCCACACGTAATTCCTTTGGAGTGGACATTACGTTGTTCAGAAATAAAATGTACTTTGACTGCGTACGATATCAAGTAGGTTTATATAGGGAGAATATACAAATTTTTTGGTGCTGTGATTTTTCCAGCCATGTTAACATGGTTAGGAGAAGCTGGACTACTAAAGTTACATTCTGTCTCTACATTAACTGATTATCTGTCTTTGTTTTTGTCCATTAACGAAGCTTTCACTAGTTTTCATGGAAATGCTCAATTGCTTTAGCCTTTAGCCCAATAAATTGCACAAAAATTAAGGAGTGGTTGGCTGAAAAGGGAACAGTGGATTCCTTTTCCCATAAGACTTTTTGGTTCACACCTCACTGCTTATGAAGACATGACGATTCAAAGTATCAATGAGTATCTGGTATCCGTAGAATAGGAAGGGTGAGTGTAGACTCACATCACTTAGGCCACATGTGACCCATTCTACATCCTCCCGAGGAGTTGTCCTCCTAGGTCATCGTCCATCCTGTCCTTTCCAAGAAGGTGAACAGGTCACTAGGAGACATCTCCTTAATTTTGGCAGGTGTAGGCCAAGACTCGCCAAACATACACTCTCTTTGGCAACCTTGAGGTGTCTCACGGTGGCTTCCGCGAGGGTTTTGGAAGGTGCAACGATATTACTGTCGTTGCGTGGCTTATTCAACCTTCTTGGGGTTCCCTCCGTGGAGGTGCACAAGCGAGGGAGCTTTCCTGTAGGGGCAGCCGGTTCCTTGACTTCATTTGAGGCGGAGCGCTTGGCGCCCGCAGCAGGAAGTGCCCTTGCTGTTGGAGATGTTCTGCTATGTCCAGCCTCAGGTAAATTAGAGTGGACATTTCTGTTCATCCTCAGCCACCGCCTTAGATTGAGGTGAGCACTTCTGTCCAGCTCCGGGATTAGCTTTTATTTTTGTTGTTTCGATTGTTTCATTCATGTGTGTTCCCACGAGTAGCAAGGGAAGAGTTGGTCACCTCTGGCAGAGCCCCGCATTACCAGTGGTAGGCTGATTACAGTGAGGTTCGCCCAGTTCATCAAGAGGATCGTTCGTGACCACATATCATCCTGCGGCCATTCAGCTGTCGGCACGATTCCTTACACCTTAGCTTGGGTTGTCTGGTTCACGGTGGCATGTTTTGCAAAGGATTTTGAGGGGTTTTAGATCCTCTCACCCAACTTATTTTTGCCACCTGAGGACGCGGAACCCCAAGCCACGGGTAACAATGAGTATGTGGAGTTATGGAATTTTTGATTAAAGATTGGTGGTCCTACCCCGTAAGTCTCACATCGGGCATGTTTCCTTTTTTTAACGCCACCACTGCTAAGGGAACCCTTACTCCGCCGAACTCCCCCCTCGTACCATCGACGCATGGCGTCGGTCATACGGAGAGATGAATCAGTGGGGTAGAAGACCCAATTTATTCATTACCCAATTATTACAAGACTATCCTTACACCATAATATATCAAATAAAACTTGAAACTAACAATTTTAGCTCCTTCAGAATAGAGGCAGACATGAAAGAGAAAAAAAAACAAAAATTTACAATTCTACAAACGCAGTTCCGTTTCCTGCCATGACTGGGGAGACCATAATCCCTCCCCATACTTACCGTGCACTTTCTACGCCTGTAAGTCAGCAGCTCACCAACTATCCTTGCCTTTCTTCCCTCACCACGTTGTCCGCCAATCGTTCACGAATCGTATCCTTTAATCCTTTTTCTCATTTACATCCCTCAACATAATTTCACCATTCATCCTTTACGTCCTTTCCTTTTACTCTCGCCAACCAATCCTGTCCCCCCATTCATGCATCTATCAATCACGTCTCTGCCGTTTCAGGCAGAGCACGTGAGTGATCTTTCAGGTTAGATAGTAAGAGTGTGGCTCTGCTAAATTCTAAAAATTTGATTCGGTCCCCAGAGGGACAGCCATAGAGTATGTGCTCTTCTGTTTCATCATTTTCCAAACAGAGGCGAAAAACACTGTCTTTCGACAGTCCGAGACTCTGCCTATGATGATTCCGACGACAATGATCTGTCAGAAGGCCTGTTAGACATCGTAGTTCATCCCTACTGTTTGGTATCAAGCCAATCCTGGAAGATTTTGCCAGAAGTCCATAAATCTTCTTGCCATCCAGGTGTTCAATGTCTGTTTGGCAAAGCTTGAAGCGATGCCAATGACAGGTTCTGGTCCAATATAACTGTAACTGCTTTCAGCTTCATTACCTTCCAGGCCAGTATAGCCAGATATCCAGACCAGAGTCAATTTGTTGTCTTCCTATTGAAAAGAGTCGTTATTAGCAATTTGCAATCAATTCAAACGTTGCTTGACTGACTTGATTATCCGAGAATATTTGTATTGACTTATGTATGAGGTTGGATTCTGCCAATCTCTCTGCAAACAATTCAACAGCATAAATTTCCGCTTGAAATACAGTCGCATAGGTCCGTAGGCAGGTTGATATCTCTATCCTGGGTCCGCGATTGAAAACACCTGCACTAGACCTGGAGGTGTTTTTGATCCATCTGTGAACCAACAACTATCTGCTCTTGATATCTCCTTCTCCCGGAGGATCCAGTCCTCTCTACTCGGGAAAAGTACTGTAGAAGGCAGTTTGTAGTTGACAGTTAGAGGCATAATGTGTGATACAATGTTCTTGTGAAAGTAATTACTTCGAGAGGGTTTTTTTCTCACAGTTTGTATCTGAAATAGACTCCGGTATATAATCTACACATCTTTGTCATGAGTTTGTTAAGACTTGATTGCTTTCTTCTCTCCTTCGATAAATTCCCACGTTTTTTGTGTATTAAGATGGAGAAGAGCTTGAAAGCCAAAATTCGTTTCTCCCAAAAAAACTGATCAGCTTTTGGGCTTTTTTCCAGTCAAACCATATCAGATCTATCAGATCCTTGTCACATCCACCGCTCCTCCCCGAACGAAGTCCTTTGTCCGCTGTGCTTGGGTCCAAAAAACCACATCTATAAAATCCGATACTAATCGAGCCGGGTATCGAAACTTAGCAAAGGTCGCTACGGCTTTCGACATTGGCGCCCACGCGCGCGGTCACCCATGGCTTTCTGATGCTGACCCCACCTGAAGAACGGCGTATGACGTCACGGTACTCGCGATTCGCGTTTGAGAAACGAGAAACGGTGTGCTTTAGTGTGAGTTTGCCGTGACCGAGTCGATCCGCGTTCGTTGATTCGCGAGAGGTGCTCTGTGATATTTAAATTCCCTTTTTCGGATTACAGGAATCTGTAGGTGAGTGTGCGACAGTCGTCCATTAACACGCAACAGGTGATTGGGGTGCTTTCCCGTTGCTTTTCATGCCTCCGGGAGTCCGACAGTTCTGTTTCGGTGAACGAGGAAGCTGTTATGTAATTAACGTGTTTCGTAATCATTTAGAAAGAGCAGTTGATGAAGTGGTCTGAGTTTGTGTTGTTTTGAAGTGCACGACTCGGCAGAATTAATTCTCTGAAATCAAAGGCCGTTCTGAGTGAAACTCGGGCACATACAAGCTGAACTTGTTGCTCCCTCAAAATCATAAATATTTAATATTTTTTCACGCGCCAAAATCTTTCGTGTGCGATTATTCGGAAGAGACTTCAACGGTAGATTGGACAAGTAACTCTCACCAAAATACATACATCCTTCGAGGATATCCGTCGTATACAATTATCCTTCTCGATTATTTTGTCAATATCCTTCATGGATGTGTACAGGTTGGAAATCATAATTTCGTTTGAAATATAAAACGTTCATTTCTCATACATATCCTGCACGAGAGAATTTGTAGAATATATTTTGTAAAATCACTACATCACTAGCAAATTGAAATGCGTCCTCCAGATACTGTGCAAAGTGCAGAGTTTCTTTGCAGAAGCCCTTCCTGCATATTGCTTGATGATCAGATAATTTAGTAATAACCTAAATAAGTACCTATTTATTATATTACCCTTCATCAGTATAGGGTCAGCTGAAGTAAAGGCAGCTTTCGAGTTGTCTGATATGGCTTCTGTACCACTTGTTGAAATTTTAATTCAACATGGCCATCTAGACTGAGTAGATTTTGAATCCTCACAGAGATTTAATTGCTTTTATCGTAAACTTGACCATTCAAACGATACATACGATTACAAAACATCGACAAAATTTTTGTAATGGTGAAAATAACAGATATTCGCGAAAAAAATAAATATTGTTCCATGGATAATTGCTGGAAATTCATGATTACCGTATTGAATAACCATTGACAACCATTAAACCGTCTCTGAAGAAGCATATCAAACACGTGTTGCGGTTTTGTAAAGTGTTTAATGAAAGTATTATAAGCGTTATTGAATACACAAAAATATCTTCCTATACTTCCAGGGTTAATAAAATAATGAAAACTACTGCATTCCTTGCATCACTCTTTGCCTTGCCTCACACAAATGAATCAGACCAGCGGTTATAGACGAAACACTAAGCATAAAAACTTGCAGATGATGGTTAGCAAACCAGAATATAGTTCGACACTGATATTATATTTTTTTAATCTAGAATTTCATTATTTCTTGCTTTAATATCTTAGCATACAAACCATACAAACTAATCGGCTTCGTTAAGAAGCTGGGTTTATTGGGCCGAGTGTGAATAGGTGTGAGCCACAATAAACCCTCACGGGTTGCGGTGGAGGGTCGAATAGACCCACTCACTTTAGATCTAACCTAATCTAACCTATCTTAGTATTTTTTTATTTCTCCTTATTATCATTTAAAAAGTATTCATCTCAGGTACTTGTTCAGTTCGTCTCATTATATTAATTTCGTTATTCATGGTTGATCAATGTATCAGTTTCAATGGTTTTGAAAAATTTACTCATTCACTGGATACTGGATTTTTTCTGGAACATATGGCACCATTGTGATGATTGTGTTCTCTATTTTTTGTAGCAATACATGTTTGATGTAATTTTCACTATTGGGCAAATGTTGAATACAATAAGGTTTTGCTCCATCGCCATTTTATCTTGTTTTCCACCCGAATCTTTCACCATTTATTATTTATATGCTCTCACAAATACTCCCTTACTCGTATTCTGTTTAAAATCTGTTTAAAATCTGTTTTTCCGTTAACCAGCTGTCGCACCCCTACGAACGACAACCCTCAGAAGTCGAAACTTGTGCGAGCTAAGGATTAACGAGGTCTTACCTTTTAACGTGTGATTCCTAACACGGGTTGGACGGTAGCAAGTGAAGATCGATCGTTCAGACTGGGGCTTGAACAACCGACCAACACGGCAGTCTATTCAAGTGAGTGAACAAAGCACCCACGCCGAACCGCTTGGCTACCGACTGACCATTTTAGTATTTTTAACAGAACTGTTCTGAACAACTTTGTTTTAAATTAATGGAGAACCACTCTCTATAGTATTTCTCTTTATGAATAAGATTATAAAAATATTACCCATATGTTACCTGTTGACTTGTTTCACGGTTCTAAATGTGTTTGTTGCTATTTTTCTTTTTTACAATGTATTAAAAATAATACTAAGCAATTATTAACATGGACTTTATCTCTTTTTTTAATTGAAAGAATTGCATTTTTGCCATTTTCCTTGTTGCTTATGTATTCAGCTTCTGCGGATATTATTCTCATGTATGGAGCTCCGCCTCTAAGCATATCCTGAAGCTGCTGGATTCCATCCAGAAAAAAAGCATTCGCCTGATTGGAGACCCGAACATCACCGGCAACCTTGATTGTCTGGAACATCGAAGAAAGGTTGGAGATTTGTCTCTCTTTTATAGATACTTCCACGGGAGTTGTTCAAGTGACTTGTCACATTTGATTCCAACAAGAGCGGTACATACCAGAAATACACGATGGACTGCGGCTGCTCATCGTTTTGAGATTCAACCCAGTACATCTCGAACTCCACTGTTCAAAAACTCTTCAATTTGGAGAACTGCGTCCAGGTGGAATAAACTTTTTTCTCTGGTACTTGTATTTTGGTTTTGAAAAAACAACAAATTTGAATTGTGGAGACAGTTATATCGATTGTTTACAAAGTGTTGTTATTGTTACATGTTATTCATGAAATTATTTTCGTATGTTACATTGTTTGTATCATTGAATGAAAACTGTCTAGTAATGAGTAAAAAGAATTCAGTAACTGATTTCATTTCAACATAGTTTTTTGCCGTGGCTTGTCCTGTGTTATATCCTGAGCGAGTTACAAACTAACATAGGTATATGATGTCATTTCCTTGATTACTGAAAGTTGCTTTGGTAGGAAGAGAGAGATATCGAGGGGCATTTGGGAAGTTACTAATAACGCTATTGATAATTGGAGAATTATACATATCTGTCTGATCATTCAAATCAATATTGATCAGAAAAATGTTTTTTGATTTCTGTCGATTCCAATATATTTAATTTCAAACTTCTCAGTTGAGTGTGTAGAATTTCCGAATTTTGTGTGAAATTGTGAGTGTTTCCCATGAGATAATTGGCGTAGTAACAATCCTGTTTATTCAATCTGTAACTTCCCAAATACTCTTCGAATCGCTGGTTGAAACTACGGCCAGTATTTCTTTTACCCTACATATCCAATCGAAATGAATTAACACATATTAGAAGCCGAAACTCAAGAATATAACAGACACCCAACAGAATGCAATGTCTGTGAGTCAGTATATACACGTATTTTCTTTGGTTTCAATACCAAAAATCTGGCATTTGACAAAAACAAGAATGTAGCTGAGAAATACTAATTATCTTCGAAGCCCCTGATGATTTCCCCACATATTTTTGAAGTGAAAATCACCTTTGGTTTCAATACCAAAAATCTGGCATTTGACAAAAACAAGAATGTAGCTAAGAAATACTAATTCTCTTCGAAGCCCCTGATGATTTCCCCACATATTTTTGAAGTGAAAATCACCAATCGATTATATTTATAATCAAATTATCAGATAGAAAATATTTTGCAGAGAGAAAATAAACTTGACGCATACAGTTTCCGGTAAAATCAACTAATTACTCGATGACACATTTCCAATTATCGAATCTTCGAAGATCCGAGCTTCAACTTACGGATTGAAAAATCAATATTTATTTGCCGTCTTGTGAACAATAGCTGCTAAAGTTCTACGTGTTGTACGTTTTGAAGAATTATTGTCACGGCATTCGAATTGTCAATAACATTCCGTTAACATAGGTGTGTTCGCTTTCAACGAAATATACTTAGTCATTTATTCAAAATGTATTCGAGTGTTGTTTGAAGAAGTTGGTCGCTAATATTCTGTTTTGTCATAGGAATTCCACAAAACAGCACTCACAATTCAATTTCATAGTGATTTCGCATGCTTGGCTAGGCATGGTGACTAAAACTTATCCTTGATGAATTAATTCCATTCAATTGGTTTCTCTATGCTTTGCTTTATAATATAACTGCCATATGTTCTAAGAGGATGTAGTTTTTTCAAGGAGTGAGTGATTAGAATCTCGTTAAAACTATGGAAAAATTTACTCTTTCCAAAATACAAATATCTGGCCAATCTTCTTATACACTAATAATCGAATATTCATTCATAGTAACCTGAAATTCGACAATCTTTGATGCAATTTTTTTTAGTAGGTTTTTCTTGCAGAATAATTTCAAACTATTACGTTGTACGATTGTTTCAGTAGTTTTCGCTCGTATATATCTTCGGAAAAGACATTTCGCTTGATATTTTGAAATTTTTATATCTCACTGATTTATCTAGGAAAATAAATATCAATGTATTAAGTATGTCTCATCATCTAACGATGAAGTTTCACAAACATTTCATCCAACTAATACATCTATTGAAAACACTTTCCAAGTTAGCGTCCTCAAGAGGCCATTAGCACCCTGAGGAGGTCATAATGATATCCTGAGTACTCTAACCAAGTTAGTGAAACTCGCGTCAAGAGACCGTAATTTTGTTCTGGTGTTAGGAAAGTGTTTTCAGCATAGTACAAACTATCAACTAATACGTGTTAGGAATCACACGTTAAAAGGTAAGACCTCGTTAATCCTTAGCTCGCACAAGTTTCGACTTCTGAGGGTTGTCGTTCGTAAGGGTGCGACAGCTGGTTAACGGAAAAACAGATTTTAAACAGATTTTTAAACATGTATTTATTATAAGTACTCATTTAAAATTGACAAATAAATAATGTCTTCCAACTGACCCATTTGTTGAAACTCATTCTAGTCGTCAATGAAATAGCATGAATGTGAGAGAATATCAATC